CATATTGARAACCGATGAAATAATGCTAACCTGCTTTCCTTTTCATAGGGCCCATTGTTTCAAAGAGCTCGCCAGAAATGGAAAAAATTACACCTTGGAAAGAACTAGTTAYATGATGTTTCAAATGATTTATGTTTTCAAATGATTAAAACTTAACTGTTGGTGTTAAAATTAAAAGAGACACGACAATTCATGAAGTTTGTTTTTGTTGTTGTCAGAAAATTTCCCTATAAATTCAGTAAGAAGATAGACAGAAGATTTTATTTCGTGTTTTGGACCACATAGTAGATTGGAATCGATCGTCCAATTAACTGCAGTTACTATGATAATTTTATTATTTTCATTGCTTTCAGAAAGCTTTGTAAACAGTTGCGGAAATAAACTTTGCTTCTGCCACTTGTGACGTTTATGCTGGATTAATCAGTAGCAGGAACAAATCGGTGATGAATTATGGAATTTTTAATAGTTTTGTTTCAAATTGAAGTTCGTGGCCCAAACCTTTTATCTTGAGTGATTATCTCTTTTCATTGAAACTTGAAAACATACCGTTTTGAACTATCCCAGCTACAAAAGTGCCACGATCTAAGGATTTATTTATATTTTTCTCATAATAGCAAGTCTCAGTATATATAAAACTAGAGAACGATACACGTCCTCAATCAGCAAAAGTGATTGCCATAAAGCTATAGTCAGCRTTATAGGAGCCCAATCAAGCATTTGCCGGTCACTCTTTTTTAGGACAAGGTACTGGGCATTCTCCAAGTGAAGAATCGTCACCTCTCTTGTCTTCATGAGAATTGCCTRAATTGCAAAGATTGGTTAGAGAAAGTTAATCAAGTTACATTTGTACAATTTCGGACAATGTTTGTTCGGAGTGTCAGTAAACGTCAGGTAGTCTGACGTGCTTGTGACAATACAAACTTATGGAACAGTATTATTTCGGACTTAATTGCATTTCCCCTGTTGTATTTATTAAAATTAAAGTCATTCCGACGATTCTTTTACAAAACAAATCGACTGCCTGACGCTTAGGTCTGACTAGTTTAGACACTCCGAAGATTTAACATATATATATTGTACGTTAGATGTACTTAAATAATCATGACAAAACAACGCCTAGCACGCGAGTTTAGATCTGAAAAAATCCTTTAATTTATATGACATCATGTATATCTGTCGTCTGATGCGTATTTTCAATTCTCTGATGAATTAATGTTATTTCAACGTTCTCAGAACGTAGTGATAAGTGATTCACGGCACAAGATAGAACCAATTAATCTACTTTTGTTGGATCCTAGTGTTGGATATCAAAGACGTATTATAAAACTCATTAATATTCATAAGGCAAAACACAATAGAAATCATAGCCCATGAAGAGAGTTGTATATTACATACAGATCGCCCGCTCATATTGTATATATTACTTACAAAACTCCTGTTTTCTTTACATTTATCCTTGTTCTCGAGTCGGGGAGGGTTCATAACCAGGGCCCCGGGGCTCAGTGTGGACCACCAACCTGGACCTGATCCATAGAACCCTATTCATGCCTCCCCCCATATTAATTATAATATACAATAATACTCAAGTAAAAAAGATGATGAGCGAGGATTTTATAAAGACTTCCGGAAGCTTCGATCCCCTAAACCCTGAACAACCGACTTACAGTTACGTTCTTGTTGATATTAAASYCTCCCTTTTTGGTCGCTCTCACCKTTCTCGTCAACATCTTCATAATCATAGCCGAAATCAACAGATCTCTTGAACATTTCCTGATGAGTGTAAACAGGAAACAATGGCACAATGACGTCATATTTGTTGTGGCCAATTGGTGCGTCGAACTTTGAAAGAACTGAAGCAGTTTTCTTAAACTTGCGAAGCCACTTCTCGTATATACGATCCACGAATGAGTGATGAAGAGGAAAGATAGGGTCATTCGATGCTGAAGGAACATCTCCCATCTCTCCACCAGTAACTACAATAAACAATGACCACAATAGTTTACTGAAAAATTACAGAATTCTAAGTAGCTATTATAGATTATACAATTTACCTTTATCGCTCTAAAAATGTCATTTTCTTAATACTTAATAAATATAAAAACGAAAAGAAGTATCGAATTGCTCACATCATTACGTTTCATATTTTCTTCGCGTTCATCATTAAAACGATGMTCACTAGGCATGGATTGCCGGTTACAATACATGCATCAGTACTTTCGAAGAACAATGCGTAGTCCATACAGTCATATCAGTATTAATAAAGACAATAAAGAGTCAATCTCATTAGGGTTGTACACTTTGTAAAGACATGCAGACAACAACAAAGTCATTTGCAGAAAACAGTTGTTGAAATACTTCATATTTTTCGTTTCCGTTGACTTCAACGTATCTTTAAGTTCTTTAGCCTTAACGCACTTAGACTTTTTAGCACGAAACAAACCTCTTTAATCGCGATTCAAGTTCAAAGGAAGATTTTAACTATCAATTTTAGATAAATAGCGAAGTTTTGGAGCTTTATGTTGGGTATGCTTGCATAGACATTGTAAGCATGGTATATACAAATGACGTTCTTCTTCAGTTTTTACATTTTTACAACTGAACAACTTTTAAAGTATTGACTGTACAGGCGCGTAGCGTGGACTTTTTGTCTTGTACGCACATGTCATGGAGCGCGGCACATGGATTGGAGGGGCTAGCGACCGCCGAAGGCGGGAGTATTATGGGTGGACTGGGGGTCTTCCCAAGGAAATTTTGAAATAATAGCTCTTGGAAATGCGATTTCCAGCGTTTTGAGGCTTTTTTGATAACGAAGCCTTGGTTGGAGAAAGCAAGCAAAGAGGAAAATAATTTAAAAAATCCCGAAATTTTTAGTATCTCCTTGCAACGTACGCAAGTGCGTATATGTGTAAAGGACGCTACGCGTCTGCTGCATAAGACATGAGAACATACCAATGTGCACCTGGTTATGYAAGGTGAATCTATTTGGAAGGTGGTAGCCTGTTTTGGTGCTGACGTAGCCCTCCACCATATTTCTGAAATTGCAGCTGGACTGTTTATCAWAAGGAGGTACGTCATACGACCCAAATCGAAGTGCAAAGTTTACCTCCTCGTTCGTTGGGTAAGTCATAACGAACCCTCGGTCCTTGGCCGCTTTCTTTTTGGCATTTTCTGTGTTCCTGGTAAGGCCAGTYTTTCTGTCTTTAGGATTACAAAGCTTTGTAAGGAAGTYTGTCATTTCTCTGGTACAAATTACGTACCATTTGTCCATGTATTTCCCTTCGACGACCCCTGAGTACTGGTTGGTAACTCCAAGTAGATCCTTAGAGCAGATTTCGRAACTGCAATCGTTTGGATCTTSAGTCCAATCCCAATATGGAAGAGCAAACTCGTCATCCTTCGCAATTTCCTAGAAAATTGCATACATAAACATTTTATCGCATCTCGTGGTAAAACTAAAAAGTCCTTTTTGCAGTCAAATTTGTTAACTTCACATTGTATTGGCATTATAGAAATGTTATCCGAGCTCAAAAATCGCACAAGGTCGCAGCTAAGGCCGAACGGGATGATGTCGGGAAATTGGTATTTACATTTTCAATACAGTTAAAACCCGAAAATAAGAACCTAATGGATTAAGAACCTCTTGGCAGAAATTTGCCATTTTAATAACCCCTTCAATAAGGACCTCTTTAGTCAAACATTATCAAGCAGGTTCTTATAATATTCATTAGAGCTAAATTACAGGATAAACAAACCACAAGTTACTCAATTTGAAGATTGCGTACAAATACTTTTACTGAATTTACAGTTGTTGAGTTGATTGTTTACTTGTTACAGTAGTTAAAAGTTACAGTTATACAAAACATTATAGTATCATATAATTTTAGTCCATATCAAGCTTATTCATTATTCTTATAATATATATGCAAAACAATTAAGAACCTAGTAATTAAGAACCTGTTTTGCCATAATTATCAGCAACTGCCCCTTAAAACAAGAACCTATTTTACCAGACTTTCAAAAACAACAGGTTTTCAGGTGTTTACTGTATTATTTCCAATTTTCGTAGAGGAGGTCATTATAATTTCAACAAATCAAATAGTGTTCAGCAGCTAACATACTGTTAAAAGTATGATAAAGAAAAATATTACACGGATGCGCGGAGATATGGGATTTTATATATTTTTTCGTGTTGACAATCTTTCACTTGCYCACTACGATCACTTATTAGATAAAGATAAAAACCGTATCTCCATGTGTAAGATCCTGTTTACAATATAATTATCTACGAAAGATAATAATGTTTTAAGAAATAACTTATATTTATCTTCAACATACATAGAAATACCCTTAAGTGAAAATAAAAACTTTAAGACATTGAGAAATGATAATATTTTACTGATAATATTTTAATATTTAAAAATGCCCTCCAACCTTCCGGTCATAGTTTTAATGATACTTTGTGAACACAAGAACAGTTTATAGTTTTTTATAGACGAAAACAAAGAAGAAGACGAAGAAGAAGAAGAAGAAGAAGAAGAAGAAGAAGAAGAAGAAGAAGAAGAAGAACATCAAAAATGAAATACTAAAAAAATCTCGTGAGCATCGGAGACAAAAACATGATGCGTTGATTATCATGTCATCTGTACTTTTAAGTATACGTATTCAATTACAAAAAGGTGCAAGTAGAGACAATTTGCTTAAGTAACGAAGTTACTTCCGCTTGAAGCAGTCCAAACAAGGTCAAGATGCTTTATGCGCTATATCACATACTAGATATATGTTTCAGATTACAGATTACAGACTTGCTTTTGAATGCTCGCTTCACGGTTGAAGTCGAGAGTTAGATCTTTTGCACTCACCTGTAATGTTCGCTCCCATGCAAGCAAATACAGTCGATGCCAAGTAAGAAATCCTTGCCCATCATGTGCAAAGTCTATATCAGACCGCGTGACATTGTGAGGATATATAGTGTCTCGTGCCGTGTAATAATGCATCCATGTAAATAGATCATAGTTGCTAACATTATAAAAGAGCCCACTGGGATCTTTACCCGCTTTCACTACTTCACTGATTTCGTGGTAAAAGTTTTTAGTAACGACATAGTCGCTTATATAGTATTTAGACTCGTTGACATATCGCATGTAACGATCTTTTTCCTCAGCAGACAGCTTAAGAAAGTTTCTCCGTTTCAAGATTTTAATATTCTGACAGCTACTGCCACCGTAGCCAAACTCACACTTACTGCAATCGTAACCACCAAAGTTACCGTTACATTTGCATGCTTTCACGTACAGAGCTCGCGGCCAATTGTGACGTTCGTCATCCTTCTGGAAGGGTTCAAAGTGGCTGTAGGTGTAATTCCAATCACGAATTATCAGTTCCTCACAGCTTCCTCTGTATTCATCGCTGCCACATGGTTCAGTAAAACCCTTTGGAATTGGACAACATGTCTTGGTTTTCAARCTTTCAAGGTTTGTACAAACTCTAGGAAACTGACCAGAACTCCAGGGTAGGAAAGAGACAACAAGTAGAAAGCATGAAATGCTTGTCATGATGTTCATCTTGTCAGTTGAATAGAGTAATTTGATTCCTTTTTTTRATAGTAGAAGTTTCCAACTCTATTATTGACTTTCTTAAACTTGTTCCACGAACATGATCATACAGATCTACAGTTTTTACTTCCGGTAGCATCACATGACGTGAGGTCTGTAAAAAAAAAACATGGTGGCTTATTAAGATACCAAATAAATTTGACCATTTCTTTCACCCGTTTCATATCAATAGTGACATGATCGTTTTATAGGTTGTGGATCCCAAAGAGAGTCACGAAACGTCTCTAGAAAAGGACAAAAATAGATAGTAAATGACGTATATAATATTTATCTTTTTTAATTATTATTATTTTAATGAGTGCACAGAGGTGAAAGTTTTACTGCGGGTATGATTACATTAACTTTACTTGGTCTCTAGTCTAAATTATAACATGCGCTCATTAGCATATTGTCCGGTTGTGTCAACCCGACGACTTTTTCGCAGGGCCCTCATAGCGTCCGTGGAGCTCATTAGCATATTGACTACAACCAGCTTCCGGTTGTCCTGTTATGTGACAAGATCTCTACGCATGAGGGAGGGGATGTGAAATCACATGATTTTCARACATAGAATAGAAATATTTATAGGGAGGGGAAGGTAAAAGATACAGATTGGTAATATCAAACAAAATTGAACTTGGGGTGAGGAGGGTGGGCAGTACTTTGTTTGGATCGCGACATGGTCAACCCGTCAAATTGGTTTGTYAACCCGTGTCATGTCGTAATACTAGACATAATTGGCTTGTTTTTTAGTTACGCTTTGATAGTGCATGTCTTGCGGTTATTACTAATTATATTCACTATATTATCAATTATTATTCAAGGTCTGTTGTGTCAATGTTGCTACATAGTTTGCGCGCGCAATGATTGTTTTGAAATCAGATCATTTTCATGCAAGTAGCACTTTAACATATTAGAGTGCTGGTCAGATGAGAATAGTACCCTTTCTAAAAACTGGGTCTGAATGGGGTTAAGGGTGTACTGACATATCCGTTGCTAAGGAAATACAGTAGTTCTCTAAAATGACAAACAAAAGTAAAATCGCTTTCGTATTRAGTRTTAMGYCTTCCCAAACAAAAATAACACATTCTATGAYGTCATTGTATGACGTCATCGCGTGACGTCATTAATACGAAAAAATGCTATAATCTCATCAAGCAAAGTATATTAAACGATTTAAAATGGATGAAATCAATCTTTAGATTTAAGTCCGTAAAGCCAAGCATGCGTTTTTAGCGGAGCTCCCGCGCGGGCCGAAGGCCCGCGCGAGCGGAGCACCATAGCTAAGAAAAATTGGTATACCATCGAGTCGATTTTCCATGGACCGACACAGGGTTCCCGCGCGTACGCACGTTTCCTTCCGTCCTTCCGTCCCTGTACCACCACAGGAAACCCATACTCCGCTCGAAAAGGAAACAAAGCGCCAAGTATTTGTTGAAAAATCGAATTTTTTTCCTTAAACATTTATATTACATATTRATAATATTAGAACAATTAATAACAAGGAAAAAATCCACTGAAGAGCGAAATAACAACACAGAAATATTCCCGCCAATTTTGTCATAACTTCGACGCGTCCGCACATCCGGGAAATCGATTTGCGAAGATGAAAAGCAATTTAGGCCCATTTAAAAGTGAYATTAGAAAGAAGGATTTTACTTTAATATTTCTACATCAAAAAGAGATGATACTTTATTGGAAATACTTCAATAATATGGACCAACATGGGAAAAAGCAGGGATCTATGCGAAGTTCTTTTTTCGACTAAAAGCGTGGACATTTCGAAACCAAGACCATATGCTAGCAGTTAGATTGAGAGAAATTAAAAACAAAGAATAGCTACAGTCTTGAATGACTTAATAAATTGATGAAACCTATGCTTGAAACAAGTATGGCTCTGTTGAAGATGACCTTTGAACGATAATTTATCGGAAGTTCGATAATGAAGGTAAAAAATATATTTTTGTATACAGTTTTCTGTGATTATGTGAAGTTCGAGTAGTCCGGGTTCAAACATCGATTATTSAAACATTGTTGATTATTGTAAGCTTATGTAGACTACTTTTTGCCGAGAAGCTTTCAGTTTACTTTTAATCAATTGACCTTTATAGATTATAATTTTAAACTTCATCCAACGGAACAAAGTCTACCTAAGTCAATATTGGTACGAACTAAATTCTCATAAACATACTCTTTATAATATTTGTT